CCTGCTGTACAGCTAACTCATCACAAGATGGCAGCACATATTCACATAAAATTGCAGAACTGCTCTAAGCTGCAACGTTGTAAACATTGTCAGGGTTATTCACAGAAGGGTGAAGAGTTTGGAGAAGACAGGAGAAGTGAACAATCTAGAACAACATAGCTGATTTGGAAATATTTTCCAATTCAGCTCACTTTCTAGTTCAGTTATATTGTTCTAGATTGTTCACTTCTCCTGTCTTCTCCAAACTCTTCACCCTTTTTGAATAAACCTGTGTAAGTTAATAAAGGAACATACTGTGGCCAAAATTCAAAGTTGTGAAAGTTTCAAAGTCTAAAGTTTATCGCCAGGCCGATATAAAAACCAACAATAAATGTTCAATGTATGCTCCACAAAATATGTATCATAAAAGAAAAATGTGCATTTATTTATTTTTTTGCATTGAAGCCAGTAAAGCATTGCAACTGTGATCAGTTGATCGCTGGTGCAATGCTTTGGCTCCTGCAGATTCTCCCTTCTGTCTCTGTACATAACAAGGTACGGATATTCAGTAATACAAAACACAGAAAATCCCCAGCTCACCTGCCAGCCAGCCTGCAACCAAACAAATTTCCCTGTCAACAGTATGCGTTAAAATCAGAGGTTTTAGTTGCACAAACTTTTGGACAAAAATATGTAGAAGCCACCCCGCCGCGCCAAGGCACCTCTGCAAGGTGTGGTCCTAACTCTATGTATATGAGTCTCCAAGTGTGAGCATATTAATGCAGTCGATAAATTGCATGGATATTCAGTATTAGGGATAAGAGGAAGAATGAAGAATGGACAAGTGCAGTGGTGCCACCACACTTGTATTCCCTTGAGACCTTCAAGTCCCTGGGAGTCACACACATCTGCGCCATAAAAAAAAAACATCAGCAGCCAGCTGGGGCGATAAAACCCCATGATTCAGGTATATGGAGTAGGGGTGAAGGTATCAATGTCACCATGTTTCATGTTACACCCTGAATATGAGTATAACATGAAACATGGTGTAAAAGGTAAATTTAGCCTTTAAGTATTTATTAAAAGATGAATAAACATGTATTAATTGCAGCTAATGTTAGTACCTGAATTTGTTTTATTACTAACTTCTGATAATACTGTGCAATAACATTTAGATTGAGGGAGGGAGTTCCAATACTAGGGGCAATCAGATTTTGCTGCATGCACAACAATTAAAATGCTCAGGCATGGGAAGATAGGCCACCAGTACTCAAAATGCAAAGAAAGTAGTTTTTATTGCAAATTCCCATCACATAGGTCTAAATGCCAACATCTATTCCTGTTCTGGCAACAACATTTGGGATTTTCTTTTACTTTCAGTGATAACAGCCACCAAGACAAATAGATAAGGTGAATCTCCCTAATGGGGACACAGACAGCAATAAAAACCTGACAGGTGTCCTATTCCTTTTCCACTCTATCCAAAACTAAAAATAAAGTTTTGCACTTTAACATTGCTTTTTTTTTGTTTTTGTTGGTCGTATACCATTTTTACGTGTCTATTTCCTCAACCTAATGAAAAAACTCTCCATAAAAAGTATCTGTTTTGTTTTAATATTTCCTGACATATTTGCACGGGTCATTTTTAAAAACTTTTTTTTGTTTTGGACAAAGTGTCAAAGGGTTAAACACCCCGTCAGATTTTTTCCGCTATACATACTGCAAAAAGTGAAAAATAAAAGCACCTTTTTTATATGCAACTCAAATCAGTTTGCTCCAGACTAGCAATATACCTTGAGCACTAATGTATTTAAAAAAAATAAAAAATGATTTTATTAATTGGATTATGGGAGGACTAGAACACCTGTCAGATTTTTATTGTTGTCTGTGCCCCTGTTTCAGATGTTTCGTCACTTCCTGTATGGTAAATCCATTGTCAACAGGACAGAAAGCTAGGGTAAATATCTGAGCCCCTTACATGAGTAAAGCCCCAACAGTCCTCATTGGCCTACCTCTGCACAAGCTATCTCCCCTTCAGTCTATGATTAATGCTGCTGCTAGACTCATCCACCTAACCAACTGCTCAGTCCCCCCTCTGCCAATCCCAGCACTGGCTTCCAATAGCCCAAAGGATAAAATTCAAAATATTCCCAAGCACTTACAAAGCCATTCAAAACTCTGGCCCCGGCTATATCTCAAACCCGGTCTCTAAGCAGTGGCGGAACTACTGCCGGTGGAGGCGGTGCGATCACTTCTGGCTAAATGCCAAAAGTGCAATTTTTCTGCTGATACAGCAGTGCATCCGTGCTTTCTTTCCTCCCTGCTGGGCGCTGCTCTGTGTCCCAGCGGGGAGGAGAGAAAGTGACAGCCGGCCGAGCGCTGTGGGAGGAGAGCGCTGTGTTTGGTTTTTTTTGGGAGGGGCCAAAAAAAACATCTTGCATCAGGGCCCTTTAAGGTTCCTTAGGTCCGCCACTGTCTCTAAGTATCACCCTAACCGTCCCGTAATCTCTTCCAAAGACCTCCTGCTTTCCAGCTCCCTCGTCAACTCCTCCCATGCTCGCCTCCAGGACTTCTCTAGAGTCTCTCCCATCCTATGGAACTCTTTACCCCAACCTGTCCGTCTATCTCCTACTCTGACTGCCTTTATGCAATCCCTTAAGACTTATCTCTTCAGGATAGCCTATCCCACCTCAACCTAAGCACTGTACCATCACGTTGTCAAAAAGTCCATCCCCACACAACTACCCCCTCATGTATCACTTCCCCCTCCCTTTTAGATTGTAAGCTCTCACGGGCAGGGCACTCCTTACCATCTTGTCTTGAATTGTATTATAATTGTAATGTCTTCCTTATATTGTAAAGCGTTGCGCAAACTATTGGCGCTATATAAATCCTGTATAATGATAATAATAATAATAGTAATAACAATAATTTTAATACTTCCCCACTCTATCAAAAACTAGCGTCCTCCCGTCACCCAAAGCTCAGTATACTGAGACGCCGGGACGGATCCCGACAATACTGTCTGGATCCACCCAGCTGCGTGACTGACAGCTGGCTCTGCCTATCCAGAGGCAGAGTCAGCTGTGCCTGCCCCCTCCCCCCGTGAGTTACAGTCACGGCTTTCTGCAGGGATAGATCGAGAAGTGAGCGAGCGTCGGTATGTGTTTGCTCACTTCCCAATCTACTGAGCCGACCTGTGACAGTTTCATTGTCACAGGTCGGCTCACATTACGAGCGAGGCTGAGTGAAAATCACTTGCCTCATCATTCTCCTTTAACATGCACTATAACTGATAGCTGTCTTCCTATGAAGTACATATACTTCATATTTGCTGCATAGACTTATTATGTTTCTATGTAATAATGCTTATCATCATATACCAGCAGCTACTATAGGGGTAGGCAACTTCAGATTTATATTTTCAGCACAGCTGGACTGTCGAGGTTGCCTCCACTGAGCTACTATTATGCAATCGATGTCTGTTTAAAATATATACTAATAAATACTAATCAATGAATACTCATTTATTATACAATCATTTATACTAAAATAATAAATGAATACTAATAAATGTAGCTTTTTTTTCTGCTGTTAAAATGTTTTATATTTCTTCTATCATATTTTACAGTGTTATAGCTTGCAAGACATATACAAGAAAGGGATCACATAAAACCCAGGAATAAGTCGACCACAGTATATGATTCACAGAATAAATGTATCAAGTATGCCATAGAGTCTTTTTACTTATTGCCCTGTCATATGTATTCTAAAAATAAAAAGTTATTTGAACTGGTTTTTGTGTTTGGTCGTTGAATCAAACGTAAAGTAAATTACAGTAATATATGAATAAAAGTGGTGGGCGAATCTACCCAGGTACAATTCACCAGGGGTTCAGCACATCTTGTTGGAAATTCAGCAAACCCAAACTTGAAGGCAAAACCCATTGAAAGCTATAGGGGGTAAATCCTGTATCGGTTTACATAACTATGTTCTGGCTAAGGTGAAAAGCAAAAAATATGTAGGCAAGAAGGAAGTCATAGGTCTCAACACCACCTTGTCCATATGCAAAACATGATAAGGCTGCCAATTCAGACACTTGCCTCATAGAGGTGAAGGTTGCAAGATACACCACCTTGTGGTTCAGAATAAAGATAGGAATGTCTCTGGTGAGTTCACATGATGGTCTTTATAGTTCAGAGAGAACCAGATTTAGATCCTACAGAGTTGCAGGTGGAACTATATGGGAAACTCCCTACACTAAGGCCTAAATCAAGTAGTGAGAGACATGTATGATTCATTTCGTTCCGAATATTGGCAAAATTGGACATTCGGATGCATCCGAATTTCCGAATGAAAAAATAACAAATTCAAACGGATTTTAAGGGGATACTCCACGCCAAAGAAAAGAAGAAAAAAAAGCGTGGGGTCCCCCCTAAAACCCCTGACCAGATCCTCGATCTGAGCAGTGGCCCGCCAGAGCAGAGGCCGCCCCCCCCCGTCCCTGCACCATACCAGGCCACTTGCCCTCAACATAGGGTAGGGTCCCCATGTTAATCAGAACAAGGGCCTCTTCCCTATAACCCTGGCCTGGTGGTTGTTGGGCAGAGGCGTAACTAGAACCTTCAGGGCCCCGGTGCAAGAAACCATGAAGGTCCCCCCAACCGCCATGGCACCGCATGGTTAACAGGAAGGCTGCCGAGGTCCCCAGCAAGCGTGGGACCTCAGGCAGCCGCTTGTTTAAAATTTTAGCGCCGGTGTTCTGTCGAGAACGCCAACCCAGTATCTGCGCTTACGTACAGATGGGATTAACGAGGAAACCGGCATATAATTACAAAGTATTTGTTTGTAATGGTTAATTGTGACCGTTAATAATATACAGTCCATGGCAGGAAATGGTGGATGGAATATTATGAACGGTCACAATTAACAATTTAAACAAAATACTTTGTGAACAAATCCCGGTTTTCTCGATAATACCGGTCCGCGCGCAAGTGCAGATGCTGAGGTCGGCAAATTCGACCACATCTGCGTTCTCGACAGAACACCGGTATCTGCGTTTAGTGTTGGGGCATTTTCACGAGGATGAGTACTCGTGAAAATGCCCAGTATTGGAAAGGGGGGAATCCCGACTTAAAAATATAATGCATTGCTGGGACTTGTAGTCCTACATAGTTGGAGCTATTCTGCATTGCTGTATAATGATTATACAGCAATGCAGAATACCACCAGCTATGCAGGACTACAAGTCCCAGCAATACATTATAATAAGTCAGCTATGCAGAATACCACCAGCATCCCCGCCCTTTGCCACTATAATGCATTGCTGGGACTTGTAGTCCTCCATAGTTGGTGCTATTCTGCTTTGCTGTATAATCATCATACAGCAATGCAGAATACCACCTGTACATGCTGCGGGTGGCTGTGCGGCAGGAAAGGAGCGGCACAATCTTGGGGGGGGCCCTCTTCTTCCTCGCTGGGCCCCCCCCAAGTTGCGGAACGCCAGGGCCGGGCCGCAATTGCGACCGCTGCTACCCTGGTAGTTCCGCCAGTGTTGTGGGGTCTGCGGTCAGGGGGGCTTATAGGAATCCACTTGCGAGCTGGAGCAATTTCTTACTATTTGCACACACATAATAAAATATGAATTTTTGGCTATAAAACAGCTTCAAACCCCCAATGTTATTTCAATATATTTTCTGAAAGCAGAGACCCTGTATAATAAAAAAATTGTAGTTGCAATTTTTTATGTCGCATGGTATTTGCGCAAATGTTCATGTGTTTAAAACTGTGTAGCATTGGGGTCCCCTTTATAATTCCTTCCAGACCTAATAGGTCTGGTATGAATTGGTGGGGGAGAAGCCGCACGCTTTTTTTAAAATTGACTTTCGGATCCAAAAAACAAAGTAACGAAAAATCCAAAATGAAACGAACCGATCCAAATTTTTTGCCAGCGCAGTCTAGAGACCAACAGTTTCTGAAACAAGATAGTCCTTACAGAAGTGCCTAAAAGTGCTGAGACCCGAACATTGGTCCAGACAGAACTGCAGGAAGGAGAGGACTTGTCCCATGGAGAAACTCCTGGGGTGGAGGCCCCGAGATTTTCACCAAGTCGAGTATGCCTTCCATGCAGGGGCGTAACTAGAAATCCCAGGGCCCCATAGCAAAATTTTGTAAGTGCCCCCAACGAAACCCCCCACCCCCATTTTAATAGAAATGCGCTGATCAGCACGTTTTTGAGCATTTTTAATTGCGTTTAAGCGCTGAAACTCGAATAAAAGCAGCCAAAAATGCTCTTTCAAAAATCGTGCAGAAACCACGGTGAAACGCTTCCGCCCTGGTGTGAATGGCGCCTGAATAAGGCCTAACACTTAACTTTAATACTGCCATACCAATGAGAGGCTGAGGAAAGTGGGATTATTAAAAAAAGGAACACTAAACTGTAAATAAGCGATTTATTTTATAAATGGTTTTTGTTGTGATAAAATGATACAGGCATATATTTAATTGCAACACAAGGTATCACAACGCACGGCAATGCATCACAAAGCTTTGCCATTGCCTGCCCCAAGTAAATTCATGTTTTTTTCCAAAAAAAAAAATCATGCACTGCAATGCGTTCTAACAACGCACTGCAGTGCATGTGCCTAGCGTACACCACAATATGGTGCACGTGTATGTTATGTGTGTGGGGGAGTGTTGTGCTTTTTTTAAATTTTATTTACACATTTTAATGTATTTTTTAATTATTATTTATTATTATTTTACTGTTGGGGGGGGGGCTATGGGGAAATATTAGGGGTCTAAACAGACCACTGACATTTCCTTTTTGAAATAGAAAATGACTTTGAGGACACAGAGTCCTCAATGTCTTTTTCTGCAGCCTCAGCACTCAGTACAAAGGCTTCTCATTCATTCACAAACTGCTGATAGAAAGATATTTACTATCAAGCAGATTCTCAATGGGGAAAAGCCTCTGTAGTGATTGCTTCTCCCCATTGAGAAATTCATGAATGAACAGGAGGTGATGTAAATCACAGCCTGTTCATTCATAACTGGGCACACATAGTAAATATAAATGATACTTACCGATCCTCCGCTTGGCCACGCACACAGCCGCTGTCATCCTGAAACTGACAGGAGGACAGCG